TGGAGCTTGTCAGTATCTCGAAGGAAGGCTGTATTGAATCTTTGTAGTGCTGTTTGTCCAGTTGTCCAGTGTTTCTTAAGCTTCAGTCTCATCTTGGCCACAACCAGGTGGTGATCTGAAGCTATGTCAGCTCTTCCATTGATCTTCGGAATTTTTGGTTGATACAGATGTGATCTATCTGGTTCTCTGTGGTGTGGTCCGGTGAGATCCATGTAGCTTTGTGTATGCGTTTGAGTGAGAATATTGTGCCGCCTATAACCAATTTGTTGAAAGCACATAGGTTTGCAAGTCTCTCCCCATTTTCATTTCTTTCTCCTAGTCCATGTCGTCCGATTATATCTTCATATCCTGTGTTGTCCACTCCAACTTTAGCATTTAGATCTCCCATCAGGATGGTGAGGTCCTTTCGTGAGCACTTTGCTACAATTGATTGCAGCCTTTCATAGAACTGATCTTTATCATCGTCGTTGCTATCATTGGTGGGTGCATAACATTGAATAACGTTCATTGTGATCCCTTGCTTCTTTGTTCTGAATGATGCTTTGATTATCCTGGGTCCATGAGATTCCCATCCCACAAGTGCATTTCTTGCTTCTTTGGACAGCATTAGAGCAACTCCCTGAGTGTGTGGAGCATTTTCCCCTTCGTGACCGGAGTACAGCAGCATCTCTCCTGTACCTAGCCTTCGTTGTCCAGTTTGTGTCCAATGGGTTTCGCTGATTCCGAGTACTGCCAAGTTGTATCTCCTCATTTCCATTGCTATTTGGCTGGTCTTTCTTGTCTCCCACATTGTCCGGACGTTCCATGTACCTATAAAGAGTGTTGCTCTGGTTGTTAGAAGAATTCACACCAGTTTACAGGCATGATCAGATTGATATAAAAAGCAACATTTAATGTAGAGAATAAACATGAAATATAAGATTGTTTTATGTTTGCTTGTTTAGTAATTGGTAAGTAGTTTAGAAATGGCATATATCACGGCAAGCCAACGCAACACCAGGGAACTTGTCATTTTTTCTTAGGCGGATAGCCTGATGATTTATGAAAGTTGTTCTGTAAGGTTATTTCCAGTGCCAGAGCAAGTTATTGATAATTATCTACAACTAGAGAAAGTAAGATAAAAGCAAAGAGCACGGGACAACAAAACAATGATGGCAAGTAAGAGGTTAAACATTTAAAGTTCCGATAATCTCACTTGTGGAGTAAGATACACTTACAGGCGCTAGAGCATTTAATGCATTTTCAGTGGAGCATTAATGGAGCGAACAAACAATGGGAGAGAGTTTAACGTACGGATAGTTTGTGGTAGATTATTCCAGAGCCTAGAAAAATTACAGGTAAAGTAATTCATATAAAGAGGAGATCTAGAATATGTTTGTTTCGCTAAAGACAAGGAGTTACGAATGTCGTAATGTGAAGATTCAGCATATTTCCTTCTACTTGAAGTCTGTTCTGATAATGTTGTTCAGATGGTCTACGACCAAACCATCCAGCTAAGACAACAAAAGTCTGCCTGAATTTATGCATTTAACTTGCCTGACTGAAACCCGATATGAACTGTCATTTGGTTTAAGTATCAATCGTAAACAATTCAACCAAATGGCATAGGTTAGAAAGAACTGTTTCAAATTAACAACTTGTTTTTATTGATGACTTTGTAGGTTGATACAGATAACATCAACGTTGAAATCGAATTTATTAGGATTTTCGATAAATTTTTATTGTTATAAAATACTCAATTCTAGTTTGTAAATTATTCGTAAGTCTCTAAGAAAATGAGAACACTGGTACTACGGATACTTGTGATAATAATAATAATAATAATAATAATAATAATAATAATAATAATCAACGATCTGTCATAAGTAATTAAAGTTGAGTCTATTTTTATTAGTAGGTTTAGGGTTTATGTAGTTTAAATTTCGTAAACAGAATAATTATTCTTAATCGTTAGATGAAATTTCGCTGACTAACTTGACTCGATGTTTACATTGGGACAACTCTTTTAATCTGGCGCAGAACAAGCTTTGAAGAATGTCCAGCGTTTAGCAGGTTACCTACTAATCTTCTTCCTATCAAATTTTTAGCCACTTAGTTTTAAAACTATTAATTTAATGGCCATACAGAACGAACATAACTCTATTACAGAGATATTTTAATGAGAGTAAGCACATAAAACAGAGTGAAACCACTGCCGCATGGGCCAGTTCATAGCATGCAACTGGTTGATTCGCGTTGGTTTTATTCGACTTTGACGAGGATTGGTAACCTGTTCGATATTCAGTGATCCGATTGTCAAATGATTTGGCTAGCGCCCAGTGACACTCTACAGGCCCTACAACACTGTTTTCAAATGGCGAATATGAAGACAGTTAACTCGATATTTTTCTTGAACATTTTGTGTGTTATTCATACTACTTATTGATGACCAGTAGTTCACTTTGTTGTCAATCATTTTGGAATGTGTAGCCGACCAAATCGTAATATGACTAGGCAAAATATTTCGAATAACACGTTCCCAAATGGGTGGAAGTAAATCAAATCTGGTTTGTTTTGCACCTCTAAGGATAAATTTTGAGGGTACGACCACAAATGGTAATGAAATTGTGATTAGTCTGACGGCTAATTAAATATATCTTCAGATTGTCCCTGGTTACAGTTTCTTTCCATTAAAATAATTATTTGATTGATTTTTGTAATGGTTGTTTGAATCTTTCATTGATGTTTAAGACTGAAATTGGTCAGTCTTATTTAGCATATGTTTATCATATGTGGATTGCCGCAATATCGCCTTGAGTCACTAGCATTATAAGCAGACATGATTGGTGGATAGCAGTGGAAATCAGGATGCGTTTCGCGCTTTTCGGGACTCATCAGCTTGGTGTACCTACATCCCAGAGTTGACGTTCATTATAGTACTAGGACGAAATTGCTGTCCAATGCTGCCATGTATTCAATGGTGATTTAACACTGACCGGTTCTTGATTTCAATGAAATTCTTAATTACTTGAGCACACATTTCGAAATACAAGTTAACCAATTACTTATTATTAAACATTTATAATCATTCCCTTAAATTCTCATCAACAGGGAGTGAGGATTCACAATGGCCGTGGCAGTAATGTCTATGAACAATCAATAATAATTTCTAGGCTAGCTAGTTTGTATATATATTTATATATAAATGTATATAATTGTCCCTCAAATTCACCTAAACTAAACATGCAACTTGTGGGCAAATGCATTGACTGAGTAGTCCATCAATGATTTCAGCCATTTACATTGAGATCTACAGTTGACTTACTTGTTGTATTTGAAGTAACCGCTCTTTCTAGGATTTCAAACCAATTTATATTTGACTTGAGATTTTGAGGAATAAGTTATCATCAGATGTTATCCAAACCCCTTGCCATTCCCAATTATTTATCTCATGAAAGCCGAGAATAAACAGATCGAAATATTATTAGTAATAGGTGTATTAATATTTCGGTCAGTTAGTAATTCATCTATTTACCATATCATATTCTCAATCAGATATCTGATTACACTAACGTCTTATAAATGGGTCCACCACACTAGCTGACATTTTACTTGTCAAACTGGAGTGTTATCCACTCAAAAAGATTATTCCATAATTCAAATTCTACTGTTGATATATAGATGACACGTTAATCCTCTGTAAAAGCAGTGCACCACAACAATGAAAACAGGGAGAATACCTGGACAAGGCAGTACACACATTTCCTTAGCTTTGTACCTCTACGGTACTAAGAAAACCTGGTCAAAACTCTTAGTTATTAAATACGCACTATATATTCTACGGATATAGTTGAAGAAGAGAGAATACACTAAGGGAGAACGGACACCGTAGAAAGTTCCTAAACAAACATGTGATCACGATGATTAGAATAGGAGAAATACAAACGATGAGTAAGAAATCCTTGTTCATGCACCTACAATTCAGAAGGGATGCTGCTAACGAAATATTAATTCAAAGATTACACAGAAAAATCCAAATGTCATCCAACGTCAGAGAACCACGAGTAGTATTTTTTTACGTGCCTAATGGTGACAACGAGGCTGAAAGATGAATTACCTTGAATGACCACCTCGTTTTGTATTTATCAGTTCGACTACTCTTATGGAGGAAGTGTATTGGTCGAAGTTCTGGGAATTTACACTTTCGTACTCATGAACACCTCCCAGTGTGGACAAGTAATGGTTTAGTGAAGAAAGTGGACAGCTTCATTCTGGCCCATTTATTATGAACTGGTCATCGTACCAGTATAAACCAATCATTTATAAATTATTTATCACGTTAGTTATTTTTCGCCAAAGCCAGTTCTACTCAAAGCCTTTCTAACTGTGTAAGTAGTAGCTATCTGGATTAAGAAATCGGAGTTGTGTACAGAAGAAATATCTTCAATAGCTTCTTTTTCCCTGATCGACCTCATGACTAACTGGTCAATAGTAATTATGCTATTGAATGACGTAATTTGACCTTTCGTATTCAAATGTAATTGTCTCTTATCTATATTCACAAATCTTGCTATTATTATTATTATTATTATTATTATTATTATTATTATTATTATTAATGGTTTAACATCATTATTAATCTCCCTAAAACATGATTCATTCACTTTGCATTCATCCAACTTCATTATGCCTTATTGATTTTATATAAAATTTTTACGCACTAAAGTCTTTCACCAAACACTTGATCGGATTTGTAACTGCACTATTATTTGTCTCACCCTATCTGACCCGTAGTTATTCTGATCATGGATCTTACAATTTTCACTGAAGCTGATTCAAATTAACATTCTATATGAGTCATATCAACATTGACCATTTTATTCAATTTTGTTTGACAATCTTAAATTCATATGATGCAACTTTAAACGATGTACTTCGCACTTAAACTGGTCACTTCTTCGGATTATTAAGTTGGATCTATGATTGTAGTAACTGAAGAGAATTCATCGAAAAGAATATTCTTCATTCAAATATTAATCTTTTAATATGATGGGTAATTTTTAAACGATAAATTAATGGAGATAAATTTCATTACAATATAAAACTAGTGTCCTTTCGTCCATTTCGAAATGCGTCTTACTACAATTCTATAATTAGTTTTCTTTATTCTTCTTCTTCCGTATTCTTCCTGATATTTCTCTAACCTAAACAAATGTGAATGAAAGGGATTAGAAAGAAACTGAATCCAATCATAATATAATCTGTTGTGCAATCTTCGTTTGGATTGTAAATCAATCATAAATATCTTAAAAAGGTGCAATAGCTGGTGGTGTTTTCATCTATAATAAGACAAAACTCGTACACTTTTTGTAAATAATTGTGATAGACAAATTCTTGGTTTATCAACATTTCAGTTTGCGTTGTGTGAATTCCAAACATGGAATAGTTATGTTCCATTGGCTGAAAACTCATGTACATGTGTTGTGAGTTTGCTTCCATATTAGTTGACCGACGTTGTAACATGCAAATAAGTGAAAACTTTGGACTGTCTGAATGGCCACGTGTTTGTCTACTGTTTCGTTCATATATTATACATGAACAATTTTAGAATACTTAGTCCGATGTTCAGCTTATTCATAGCAAGAAAATATTACACTATTGTTTTCTGTTTAGAATGATTGGTTCTGTAGCTTTGATTACTGACCACAGATGAAAATTTGTATGGAATTCAATAAAATGTAGTGAGCAATATATAGCTAGGTGTGAAACATGGCCTTCAGAAATGGAGAATGTTTGTGGGTTACAAGTATTCAATCATGGGTGTCTTTGAATCATTGCTAGTATGTTTATGGAGTATGGAGTTGAGAATACGGAGACTGGACATAGAGTACTAGACAACTATGGTAAGTCAGTTGACGAGGTAGTAAACCTTTATCAATTGAGATGGTTTGGATGTGTATTACGTATACCCATCCTCCGACCACCTCGATATGTGATGATGGCTGATATAGATGTAGATTAGAAGGAAGCTAAAGACGGCCATAATAAAACATGCCATCAATCCATGAAGACACTGACTTATGGACTGAGCCATGTAAGCGGGTGCAGTTTACCATGTAACGAATGTTTGGAGATCTTGAAATGGATGACCTAAAATCATTCGCAATGACGCATTAGATTTCACTCATTGTCCTCTCTCAGATCCTATGTTTCTGAATTCCTCATAAATTTCTTCTATTTGTTCATTAGTTTGTGTTTTCTTCCTGAACTGTTTCTTGAATGGTTAATGTTTTTGTTACTACTGATCATGTTACAACGTCTAGTACTCTGAAATCTTACCTAATATTTCCATCTCACTGTGCTAATGAGGTATGGCAACTTGAATCAATGTACACGTATGTCAAGTTTTATGTCACATTTACCTGACTGACTGACTGACTGTTTAATCAAGATGTGATTTATGAACAGAATTTAGTTGTTGACATCAAATATAATACCTGATGAACCAATGATTTAGGAAACATTTTCGTTTAAATTTTCTGTAAGTGTAACAAATGATATGATCTATGATGGGTTTGCGGTTTCGATCTCCATGAAACTTTAACCGTGCTTAAAATTGCATAGTGAATCTGACGTTACTGTAAGGATGATTTATTTCACTCGTATATTATCTATGATAAATAATCTGTCCTGTGGACTCAGTGTTTTGCAAATGGAATGCAAATTATTCTGAAATGGTGAATATTTAGTAAGTTGTCTGCGTCACAGGTTAGCATCACTGAAAGTACCACTTTAAAAGCACAGAGCACCGGACAACTGATTTGTCGTAATATGAAATACCTCACATGTGAGCATCTATGACACCAATAAAAGTGTTTAACATCAAGACTGACGAACCACAACTTCATTATCTACATTTTCAACTTCGTTAATGTTGTCTGTTGATACGGTGTACACAAAATGAATAAGGAAATAGGTAAATGATAGTCATAATATCGACTATGTTTAACTCACAGAGCATGCATCACGAAAGTCTGGACATTCAATCCAATCATATCTAGTGTTTTCTAAAGCTGTTTTAATAATACCACCCTGTCTTGGACATTCACGCCATTCTCTGCGGAAGTAAACTAGATGTTCGAATCTAAGAGTACACTTCACCTTGAAATCCAAAATAAATCAACGTTGTCTGATGAATAAGTTAGTGATGCGAACTAATGTCAGCTGGTGAAATAAATACCAATGATGATCAATAATTTCTTTTGTTCAACAAAATGCAATGGTTGTATTATTTCGGTAAAGCTTGGATAAGATGTACGTTCATATTATTTTGTATTTGAAAATGATAACATTAGAGTTGTTTTTCATTGAACGATGATATCAAGTAAATCCCATATGATTAGGATGTAACTGTTTTAACTATTGCTTTCAACAATGATTTACTATAGGGCATCTCAAAATGCAAAAACATAATGGGTCGATGGTGTAGAAACTCAACATAACTTGTTGTTTAGAAACCATGGGCTTGAAATAATTCCATAGTGTTCTACATAGTCAGTAATTTAAAAATACTTGAGAATATCTCTGATGAAGTATGAATAAAATCAGTGACTTTTGACAGTGCTTTCATGATGGGTTCCAATCTAGTTACTCTTTCATCATTGTTTTGTCTGAGAATTTTTGAGTATTCAGTAAAATATATTAACTGAAGCTAAATTTTTTATTTAATTGTTTTTCAATTGGTCACAACTGCTTATCTATATGAACTGAGTAAACCTAACAATATAATGTTACGAAGTAGTTTGATTGATTACATATACTAGTTATATTAAAGAAGATTTCAATTGACAAAACCGTGTTTGTTAAATATGGTTCTAGCCAAATTATGACTTCAAATTTATTAACTGTGATAAAATGTAAGATTTCGTTGAATGTAACCGTTTTGCATCGAACAAATAATTTAGCCTTCAAAGATTGAAACATGACTAATAGCCATGTCAGCATGAATAATTGCATCTTCTGTTTTCAATGAGATATTAAGAAGCTCAAAGAAGACAAAGTATTCAATTAAAGTATGTTTGTGTTAATTATTTTGACTATTTATTCCCAAGTTTCCTTGTCTACTAGCGTGGCAATCATATCCTCTATAAACCAGATTGTCCACCAATATCATTGAGTTACTCACTTTATTTGTAGATTAATAAGTCAGTAAATCATGTGTAGAAGGTGTAATATTCTACATTGGTCTCTGAGTGTGTCGCGAAATATTAAATAGATTTTTAATTGTATTCTATAATTTGTGACCATTGTGGGCTCTCGTCGAAAACAACACCCTAAATTGAGCACTCATAATCATAAAACAGCAATCAATCTCCTAAGTTTTGAACAATATATATATATATATATATATATATATAACTTACTTGAAAACAACCTGAGAATGACCAGCTGCGGTTTCCACTCATATAGGTTGTTCCATAATTGAAACATCGTGACTTCTTTCCATAATATTGACTATCGCTATGTACGTCTGCAGTGTAAGATAAAGACAAAAATTCAATCTCCTTCTCATGTAAGCTGATAGTAAACGTTTTAGGTGGAACAGTCCACTATCCACTTTTGGTACGTGGGTCAATATATAAAGAGACAAATTCATTATAACTCAGTGAATGACAGGAAGAATTAAAAGTTTAAACATAGTTAACAACTCTTGGTCGGCCACTAATTGATCTTATAGATACTGAAATGTTATACGTTAATTAGTTTAATATTCTGCATACTAATTGGTGGCCAGTTTTCAGTGTTCCATAAATCAAACCGTAATGAATGTTTTCATGATAGTTCCGTTTTTATTATATCATTGTATGTAGATCAATAACATTAGGTATCGTTATAATTTGTTGCATATTTCTTTTAAATATGACATGATTCAATCTAGATAAATGTTATTGTCGAATTATATTGTTAAACGGTATACTCCTCTACTTCATGGTAATAAGTAGTGTGATGATAGTTGAGTGTATTCGTTGTAAGCAGTTGGCATAACGTGAACTTACCTTGGTACTTCCGATTATTAATATCTCCACAGTGAGAATTCATTGTTGTACTCATAACATTATTGAACATCTGAAGAGAATATTTACAGAACGATGAATTATTATAATGTATTATGTGCTAAAGTTCATTTCATTGATCATCCAACAAGCACTTTATAAATAAATTAGGTGATTTGTTTCCATGCAATATATATTACTAGCATTCAAACTTTTAAAATATAGCTTTGGGTTCATAAAATATCAAGTAGAACACCGTGGTCCTAATCAGAATATAATATTATTTGGACTGTAGGGAATGTAATATGTTTGAAGTTATTCCCATAAAACTGAAACATACATCGGTTTATTCTCCATAAGTGTCTTCATGTCCAAGTCATCATACGCAAGCTCTTTTAAAACACAGTTCGGATTAAACCCTTATTCTACAAATTATTTTTGCAACCTAAATGAAGGTCAAACCTACCTCAATTGTTCAATAGTCTATGAATAACGGTCGCAACACAATCTCATCAGTATATGTCAATTATAAGGCATCTCAACAAGTGTATAATAGGTTTATTCTAAACACTGTATATAGCCTTCGTAGTCGAACAATATTAGTGCTCAATTTAAAACTGTATACTCAAACATTAGCAATGTGTTCGACTATTTATTCCTACTTTGTGTTAAGAGAGTAATTCTTTCAGGAGTTGCCAATAATTATCTGTCCACAGAATACTTATTCATACTCCCCAATGGCATTGTGAACTAGATTTACATAGGAGTATCAATGAATTCATATATAGTTGAGTATTGTATTCTGAAGTGAACTGCATTCAGGTTGATTATCACAAGTGTAACAATGCGTATCTTTCGCAATTAATGGCTTAGAATTTGAGAAACGATCACTCAAAATCTTTTAGGGAAACTATCGTTTATTATTCTTTTTAGGATTTAATTTTCTCAGAAAAATCTTCGATTGATTCTGTTTAACGCAGGTTAGTGAATATTACGTTTTCTTTGTTAATCGTTTGAATGCAGACTAAAAAACAAGAATCAGTGCATTGTAACCAGTTTATTTTTAATTCAAAACTTGGTTTATTGATTGAAATTTGTGACTATATAAAGCTAGACTTACATGCATATATGGACAGTAATCAGCATGAATATCAAATCCTCCAAATCTATTTTGTCTCGAAGGCTCTACATCGGGTAGGTTATTGAAGTGTGTATGCTCTGGTTTTAGAGTGTGACCGACATCCACTAAATTGCATACCCCGTATGCATTTATATGAGGAATGCACCGAATACCAGAATTTTTAGTAATTGGTTCATTACACCAAGGTGATGCAGTCTTTTGTCTGTAAATAAAAACAAATCAGATAATCGGTGCAATTAAATGAAAAGTGACAAATCCCAATTCATTATTCTGTTAAATTGGTTGGTGAACAACGTCATCATTGATTATATATATTGTACCACATATTTGAATCTCCAATGATGGACTAATCTGTCAACTTGAATAAAAACAGACCGAAATTGATTCTAATGATAATATGAAAGTAGTGAAGTTCAACCGTGTTCGTATGAGGCAGTCAATCACCGAAGACAATCGAAGATAATCGCGCAATATCCTGTAATGGTTTGAAGTGAGGCATGAATGCCGTTTGGTGTCAGTTCAGCGGTATGAAGATTAAGCGTTCGCGCGCGAAAACGAATGCCTGTGTTTGAGTTCCACATGAAGAATCCTGGATACCCACTGGTGAGGCGTTTCATAGAAGGACGAAATGACTGTCTATTATTCCCATGTTTTCAAAGATGGTTGAACATTGATTGGTTCATTATCTCAATGAAATGCAACAGCTGTTTGGTATGCACGTGAATTAATGACAGTAGATATTTCAATGAGAATGTGTTTACCACGAAACGCGTTGTCTGTGAAATAAGAAAGTGTGAATTTACTGACCAGTCATTTCACAAGTGAGTATCACTGGAGAATTATATTTGTTAAAATATCTAGAACGTAATTAAGCTATAATTCAGAGCAAAGTTTTCTGATAGATTTTAGTTATTTTCTGTTTAATCACCATTATTTGCACTATTCGTCATGTTTCATGACACCGAGGCCATTTGCTATTTACATTTGTTTAAAACAACTAAGAATTTTGTGAACTAAGCTGATGACTCGCAACTCTGAATTCAACTACAGACAAAAGACTGCTTCCTATTGTCAATTACTTCGCTCACTAACCAGAGTTAAATATCCACACTTATATAGAATGGCAATTGATACTGACTTAAAAATATCAATTCACGTTGTAAATTATACCATTTATTACAAGCTACATTCAGCTTTTGCCAGTTAATCATATAACGACAGAAATAAATATATTTTCTTGTTTCTACTATGTGCTTTTGTGACAAGATAACATAACTGTCTGCCCAGATTTTACAGCAATCAGACCATATATTCGATTGATATGATCTATACAGAATGATCATGTTATACCATATACCCCATTCATGGCTATTAAAATAAAATCAGAGTGTACACTTCAAATACTTTAATCAACAGAATTACGTGTTGTTATACTGAGTCAGTCCAGAATAGAAATCAATAGTAGGAAGGAAATTACAAGTTAAATGGTCAATATAAGTGTCTGCCAGTTCATGCTCAGTGACCAGTCATATTTACTTTCACGAGACGCATATGGGTAAAGGATATGGCTAGGTTTTAGGGATTTTATTTCGAGATTTTACGGCCATAACGATTCATGTAGAAAACAATTAGATTGTTTATATTCTTTTCAACCATAGATTAATTAATCTGATTCATCAACGACCTTGATCTTTGAAATACTTTGTGGATTTGATAGTTTACTATTTACTAAATATATCAAATCTGTGTTTACAACCGTGTTTTGAATGAAAGGTAGTTGTAAAACGTCTGTCTAACTAATACCAACAAAACAAAGTACAAATGACAAGAAATATATGCTTGTGATTGCGATAGATATTAAGTAATTATGTGTTTAATATACCTCGACAGGTGATTGATGATAACGATTGTAAGTTAAGTGTCTGTTTAACAAACCTAGGCAGTCAAAATTCAGCTTACATTAAAAAAGGAAAATGTGGTATATCAATTTTTATCTATATTCTTGCCTTTTAATGAATCGACCACAACTTTCGAAAATAAATTCACAACCTTGATTACGACCCCAATCCCATGGTTCAGCCATAGACATATTTACATCATACCATCTGAAAGATGAAGAGTTAACAAATATCATCATCATCATTATATTTTAAAATGAAGATCTACTGACCGTTCGGAGGATTTACTGATAAGAATTGACGATTATCACCTTACAATCAATAACCTTAATTGGTTCAATTTATAAACTAAAATAATATAGTAAACGGACTAAACTGGTATAGCAATCAAACTAAATAAGACAAATTAACTAATCAGACACAATTAATAAAAACTAAATCCTTTTTTTCATTGTTGTAATTTTCTGTGCAATCTACTAGGACTATATGAGTACTCGAAGGATGTGTAAAATGAAAGTAGCGAATTTAATGAAAAGGTTATCACGAAGTTAAACAGTACAATAATGTTATGCCTGATTTGAGGCACAGACATTCTGAGAATTTCATTCTCAGGAATCGTTCAATGGAATAGTTTGTAGGATTAGCAGACTCTAAGAATACAGATGATTATGAATGAATACACTCAGTCGACCAGACATCGGCCATGTGATATGTTAGAGTTTCTGACAGGTGCAACCTATGGGTCCTCGCTCGACTATAGAAGAAGACCGATACACACTGTTGGTCGGGAACCTGTTTTAATGTTCCAAGGGCAATAGACACATATGTATGGGAAGTTATCCATACACTTACAATTAGAGTTTAGTTAATAGAGCTTCCTGACAACTATCAGCTTTCTCACACAATTAGCGGAACGAGGTCACGAATAGGAAGCTCGTATAACAAAAGTTTGAAACTACTGCTTTTAAATTATCACAGTCTTAAGCTTATAGATACATTGTGAGAAAATATAACAAAATTTTCACCATGGATACACATATTCACACATTCAATAACACTCTATTTTGAAATTTACCCAGTATCTTTGAAGAAGCTGAGAGTTAAACCAGAAACAGACGCCATGATGTCGACTTTAGGAGACATCACTTCACCCTGAAAATTAAAACACAGAAATAACGTTGAAATGATCATTCAAGAGAATATTTATGACTTGATAGTTGTTGAATTTACTGTAAACTTACGATTGACAGACGTCGTTCGAAGTGTGAAAGTCGAGATCCACCGTGACCGTCCGATTCTAGATCAACCGCATCAAGCTCATTGCATCGAAAATGATTTCTAGCAAAGTTCTGTTTGAAGGAACAGAAAATAAAAAGAAACATCTAGATCCTTTTCTCAATTTCAAATATTCATCAACGGAGTACACTTTTCAGGTTATTTGTAGTCAACGAAACTACTGCAATTTAAAGAAACATATAAATTTGTGTTAAAATGGAAGGGCTTTTAAGATAATTACGTAGTAATGACTGTTAGGTTCAACTGTTTATTAACGTTTCATGAGAGTCATGCTGAAGTGTCAATGTCCCTGTAAATACAGTACAAATGCCAGTACAGATAATTTTTAGACAGCTTTGAATAGGTGGACGAAGGATGGCTGGCGATAATTTGTTAAAATTGGAAAAAGGTTTTAAAAGTATAGACTGGTGGTCGTTTGTCTTCTGTACTTCCTCCTCGTTCAGGGCAAGTTAGTATTGAGCGAACCACCAAGCACTGACTATCAGTTTCCCTCGTCCTTTCCGCGTCTATGCGTATTAGTCGGCTGTAACGCATGAACGTTCGCATACTCACAATGAAGTGTGCTGATCGGCATAATGATCGAACTCTGTATAAAGTGGACTGACTTGGCACTGCACTGTATGATTTGAAGATTGGCCGTAAATTCTATTGTTTTAGTATACGCTCTTGCTAATATTTGTGTCAAAGTATGATGATAAAATATTCACAAGTATATTGATTTGTCATGATTTTCAGTTAGAACACCTGATTTCCAATCGACAGTTTACGATAGATGTGAAGCTTTTATGATATTAAACCAAACATTCATTGATAACAACCATCTAATTAAGGCAATAGTGAACAAACAAATCACTTTAACGAACATTTTCTCTCTTCATATGCCAATAAAACAAGTTCTTGGAGTAAAACACGATAAAACATCACAGAATCAGTGAAATATGCATAAAGTCAATGATGTACTTACGACTACACTCCGTAATGTTAATCCGACTCTCTGGTACGTCTGGTCACTGGAGACGGTACGCCATTTCCTGGACACGTATTGTATAGTATTTCTGAAAACAAGGTTCCAATAAGTAAACTGATACTGTAACGTTTGAAATGTATTTTAAAAGCTCGGTCATTTTATTTGGTATGTGAATAGTATTAAGGTGATGAAGAGTTATATTGCTTGTATAGACTCTGCCTGTCTTGACCCGAACATATGAACTGAAATTCTCACGTTCCAATGGGTATTTGGCTTTTAATACTGTGCTTGGTAAATGAGACCAGTCCCAGTACAATGTAGGGAATTCAATGGGAAATTAGCATTCCTTGATTCATTCATCGTCGTTCATAATGGAGTCGATTTGTTGCCAAAGTACAATCGATGATCCAGTTAATGATTGAATTAGCTGCTTCATGCCAGTAATTTGCGATGGAATACTTATCTACTCGGTAAGCGAACTGATCAACTTAAAAAGTTAAACATGATTTGAGGAAACTGGAAGATTTTTGATAATTGTGTGAAAAATGTTCTATAAGTTGAATTCGAGAAAGAATTTGAAACTCCATCGCTTTACGTAATTTAAATAAAACAGTGTTGTGTTAACGCATGAAGCCAAGACAGGGAGTCCAGTATTGTTTTAAATGTTCCTTACCGATCAGCTTTTAAACCTTCGTTGACATGTTTTGGCAATTTCGGTTCACCAGTTTGTGGGTTACGCCTTGTTCTGGGACTACCATCATCATAACGTAGGTAAGGAAACAACCAATAATCAAAGCCCTGTTCAATAAAATAATATTTTATCGTTTGTTACAATCATTTGAAGACTGATCAACAATACTCTCAAGCATCAATGGGAAGATCCAAACAACTATTATATATGGATTAAAGCAATACAGTTTTATCAACAAGTCATTACTGTTAAAGTTGGTAATTTTTTTATTGTTCTATTGTGATTATAGTCTGAATGATATTAATATCATTTTCTTTATTGTCACCTTTATACTTGTTTAATTGTATTATTGTGTTTTAATATAATATAATGGAAATTTTTCAGCGATCAGGAACTTATTTAATTATAGATTCTGTCAACTAAATACTTACTGAACTATTGTTCATTGACAATTTATATTGACTTTCCAGGTTTCTAATCATAAAGGCGACTTATCTTCAGAAAGTAATGATAATTTATTAATACTGTTGCATTGCGCACATTGTGTAGTGAATTCAATAGTCATCGTTACAAAAGATGAATGCAAGAATAAATGAACTGTGTAATTAATGGTTGTTTCACTCACGAATGTATGTCCTAATTCATGAATAATTATTCGTTTCAATTCTCCTGGATTGGAATCAAGATATTTCATCGCTGAGCAAATTACAATCGAACCTGCGATCGGTCTTGTTTATAAAAAGTAATACAGTTGCAATTATTAGGCACAGAATAATGTAAAGAATATGTCGTGTAAATCGTAGTAACTGACAAGCTTTTGACCCATTGAAAAGTTAACGGATTTGAAGTAACTACGGTAACAACGAAAGCTACTGTATCACAAAGCAGTGGTAATTTACAATGAAAATTCAGAAAGAAGATGCACCAACCTATAAATGTTGACGGAAATAGTGTTTTAAAAACGGGCAGATTTTTGTCATTTGATTGGTGGATTCCTCTATTTTTTTCTATATATCTAATGCAACTGTATAATAGTGGATCAGAAAAATATAACTGTTCCCAGTTTTTATGTCTAATCATGATAACACCTCACCACCAGATTGAGTAACCACATCACATTACTGTACGCGGTCTTCGGCGGACCGTTCAAAAGTTTTAACTCAGGACAACTCTGGAATCTCGAATGTTTGGCATGATTTCCCTCAAATGCTAACCACATTTATAGAAGTGTTTCCTGTTGCACGAAATCGAGCCATACTTTTTAAATTTCCATCGACACTGACGATCATGAACTAGTTTAATTTTGTTGATTTGCATGTTATCTGAATTACGTTGGGTTTTGAGAGGTAGTGACGTAATCATTGCACTTGTTGGTTATGTTTGACAACGATTTGTCCGTATTGTTAGTGGACAATTAAGAAGTTATGCTACTTGAATGATATGAAAAAAACAAATTCAAGAACATCTGTGTAGCTCAAATTCGGATAAGTTAATTTCGGTATTAGATTTAAACCTAATGCAAACAATAATTTTCATAGACTAACTGATCTGTTGCTTACCTATCGGTGTCCAAATCCTTCTCACAAGTGTCAGCTGTAGCCATTGTGCTTTCAGATATGCAAGCATTATGCGAACGAACAAAGAGAACAAAGTCAATGTTGCCTCGCTTTTTGACTACGGTTTTACTCACAACATCTTTTTCAGATGAACGACATTTCTATAGAGTCGGAACATGAGAAAGGTTTGCATAAAATTGTCAGAGAACAAGACATATAAAATTTGTAATCGAAATGTCTTAAGCTACTTCTGTTGCCGAAACTGATCCAATTACTGGAAATCAGTGTTTGTTTTTCTAATGATGGATTTCATAGTACATAGGAAATCCAAATAACCGAGTTAATATACCGAATAACAACATGACTGCTGAAGCTTCACTTCCTCAGCCAGTGTCGATTGATAGAATCTAAATTTGTAAACAAATCTCTGTAACTCGACCATGTTTAAGAATTAGAACATTTTGTTTTTGTGTTAAGAATGATATTCCATCATGAGACACTGTGTGTATCTCTCAGAGCTTCTTCAACTTTTGAAACAATCGTTAACTCCTTCGCATTGTTACGAAGAAAAAAATATTCAGAGTGATGGTGAAAACGATACAGTGTCTTGCATGCTCACAGCCCGGTAAAAATGAAATGTAGTGGAAAAATTAACCACATCGAAATGAATTTGCGACAAGATTGATAGCTGACTAGTTTTATAGTTCGGTTTTTTATCACTATGATGCAGCGAGATTTCCTAGCGTACGTGTTTGAAAGGAAACATTTCACCGCATAAAATTCACAACACTCGGTTATAAATCTTACTCGCTGCTACTCGATACCAACTGTAATCACTTTCCTGTTAATCCATATGTAGCGTCTAGTAATCCTGTTATGGTATATGCTAACTATAAGTAGTATGTAGCAGCAATCGAAAGTGGAATGTCTGCCAGCATAAGATTGAATTGAAGAGAACAGGAAGGCAAACAGATAGCAATTTAATGGCAACAGAATTTAAAAAATCACAGGGCATGTAAAAGACAACTGAAGGAAGATGCGCAAATAATGTATTTAATGTATGGTTTGCTTATTTCACTAGGGCTCTGTGTAAGCAATAAGTAAATTCACTACATCTGAGTTTACTCTAACTACATTGTAATGTTTTGGGAATAATGTAGATCTAAACGACAAAAATTCAATCATTTCAACTGGGCAACTGACCTGAAGATACTTCTCTGGGATTTCAAAACCGTTACATATAGACACGTTATTACAACCACCTTCACAGTAATGATAACGTGGCCGCATCAGTGATCGAACTCGATTATCGCAATTGCTAGTGCATTCGAAAGGAGATTAAACAACAGGAAAAGAAATGTTTATTTATCGCTCTGAGTACACATCATTGTGTAATGACACATTCAAAAAGTTGACGGATGTCGACCAGGATGTTTTGTCTCAGTGTTTACCACTGAGGTGTATTCAAAACACAATAAATTTCTAACTTCTCGTTGCTCAAACAATAATAGACACGATCAGCTACCATCCTGATTAACAACCACTCAATTGGCATATCAAGGCTGTTCTCTACTCATACTTAGTTCAATTCTGTCAGAGTTGTTCTCGGAATATCACTTCCTTAGTTTTGGTTTTCACTGATTGGCACTCTTCCTAAAAAATCACTCAACCACTGGATACATGGCGTGAACAAATATCTGTTTAATGAAGGCCCTGACATTATGCAAACAATTCAGAACACATTGATCAGGAAAGAAACAATTACAAGGATGGAATCCTCTTTCAACAGTGAAATTCGTTGCATCAAGACTGGCCTTATTCTATACTCTGACCGATGGTACTCAATGGACTATTTGATTGAGCTGATGACTGATAATTTTCTTGGACGCATTATCATGCCTGATGGATCGTAGGTTGACAAAATATCAGTACGTCTGTCTGTTTACTATGATGAGAGTAATCTGCTCATCGGTGCACTTTGTATTTCTGTATTATTATTATTATTATTATTATTATTATTATTATCAGTTCACTCTAGATTCAAAAGCATTTGAAACAATAATGTCTTAGTGTCTGTGGACAGTGGAAACATGTTGTTCCACTTTCTTTGTATATGTCAGCGTTGGCATAATAAAGTGGTGACTCTGATACACTACAGGTTTACTTTCGTATGAGAACAGACAGAAAATATAGGTGGTTTAGTCCCTGAACAAGCATCACATTGATTTCTAGTCATACGATATCAAAGCAAATGTTTAGGACGACAGGTCAACTGCAAGAAGAAGAATCCTAACAATAACACAACATGAGAATTATTCAATTTGTACGACTGTTAATAAACTGACCGTTCTATTAATATTTTTTGAGTAGGATGTTTCTTCGGTTGTATTGCTTTTGTCCAGAATCTCAAAGCATCCTTGACCTGCAACTGTAATTCACAAAAAACACTGTTCCAATCAACCAGAAAATGAAAAGAAGTTTACTTTTAAAGACTATCGAATGTTCAGTAACTGTTGATTTTGGTGAGATTCTCAGTATTCCAAATCAATGAGGATTATCACAGAGCAATGAGTTACACATTTTCTTTTTTCTCAATTGTCTCATCATTTGTTCGGAAGGACAAAGTGGAGTGTCGAAATCTGTGACACAAATTAGTCTATTAGCTTCCTGAACTAAAGTGATCATGAAAGACTAATCATCTACACTCCTTGTTCACTGATGAACAAATTAATGATCGTAATTGATACTGGATCTGAAGTGTTGTCGAATCGCGAGCAGTAACATTGTTGACTAAATTGTGCAATGTACATTCTATGGTAAAGATATGACACATATCGTTTGAAAACACTCGTAGTATTGTACTTGTGTCAGCTTCTTAACGTATTTATATTTATCACACACTACTTATCAAATCCTGACCTTTGCTGCTACCTTGAAGTGGTGATCAAGCTTGCATATCATGATGAACCAATCGAGCGATACTGGCTGGAACAGTCGTTCCTCAAGATCTTACCATGCCAGTTCATGTGTATTTCGTAATTCAAAATGATTTAAACGTGATGAAATTGGACACATAAGAGCAGTTTGTAATACTACTACTACTTCTACTACTACTACTACTACTACTACTACTATCCGTTTTGCTATGAGTAATGCTAAACTTTGTAATTCCGATCCTATTAAGTTGAATGTTTCAAACGAGTCATAATCTGATCAGATTCATGATATTATTTTACCACATATGCGTTGTTCTCATGATTTGTGCATTTGTGATGAAATTATTTACAAATATGTGGAGGATATATCAAGTGCACTAAATCCTGATCGGAACTCTAATGTTACTTCATCAAATGTAGTTTGTCCTAATGACTCATTTATTTCTGGTGAAATCTTAATTAAACGTGAGGAACAAGTTCCACATGCGTTAAAATTTGAATACAGTCCTTACGGTATTGCATCAGATGTCATTTGTTTACACAACGGATTTATCTCTAGTGGTATTGCTAATGAATGTGACAAATATGTTCCGAATGAGTTGACTTCCAGTCACATTTCTGACGTTATTGTATCAGAAGTTGGATATTCTCACAAACAATTTATGTTGAGTAGAATCCCTAGTCAGTGGTATGATGATGATGAGGGAATAGCAAGTTATCCCGAAGCATTCGGAGAACCAGTTTGCCCAGATATGAAGTTTGCATAGGCAGAAAATTCAAATCGAGTCCAAGATTATTCCAATGAGTATGAGGCAGATGCATATTTTCCATTTGATTGTTTTGCAGGTGAATCAAGTCTAGATGAATCACACGTGTTAATTAGAGATATCAATGCATATATATCTGACAATTGGAAAAATGGCCTTTGTTATATCCCCTGGTGGATTATGAATGGTAACTTTTAGGACAATTTATGGACCAAGGTGATATGTATATTTACTATTGTATAGTTGTTAAATAACTGACCTAATCGTATTCGTGTTCCTCTTATCATAATCTTTATTTCGACCTTTGAACTATAATTATTGATTACTTTCCCCCTATCCACAGCCACATTGACCAATTATTGTTATTTTTCTATTTTTTGGTATGATATGGTCTGTTTGGTTAATATATAAACCCAGTTTGTTTGGGAATAATGATTCATATTGTCGAGGCTGTTATTTGTGTTCTCGACTTAACGGGCTGGGCTAGGCAGAAAGCAGGGCAGATACGCACTCAAGACTGCTCGTACGACTTTATATATCATTGCTCCGAACAATAAATCCACTACTCTCTAATTGGGCCGTTCATATACTAAACAGGGCATACGCGCACTCATACGTTATAACAGTCTTGTGTATTCTAACGTGAAAGTTAAAAGGAATGTGTATAATATTTTTTATGCAAGTCAAAGTCACATAATGTCTCAAATTATATGTCAGTGTGTATCCCCAAATAATCACACATAATAATCGAAGTGTGCAATACGAGAAGATAATACAAATTGAGAACGTCAGATTGGTCGTAACATTGCGACATGCTTTTGCTTTTGCTTTGCTTTTCGCCTGTTACTCTGAAAATTATTTCGTGAGGGAGGATAGTGATTGAAAATCTATGGTTCCAAATTCTAGATATATCAGTGGCTTTAGTACAAAACCGACATGGTGATTGTGCACAATGGCAGAATGTTTTGGTAGCACCGAGCAACAATGCCAGGATGTTTGGAATGCATTTCTCTTTGTTTAAATGCAAGTTGTTGCTTCAGGACTGGTTTGCATCAACAGCTGAACTAAGGATAGGGAGTGAGTTAGTCCAGCGTGTCTGATCAGCCCTGATGGGTTGGTGTCTAACGAAATCTCTGCACGAACTCAAAAAAGTTCATTCGGCTTTTGCCAACTTACGTCATTTATAGCGAAGGCGAGATATCCGTCTATCAATTAGGGACGAGTATACTGTGCATCAGTCCGTTCTGTTCTACTTTACAGCTGCGAAACGTGGCCATTATTAGTACTCGTGATGTGCTCGTAAGATACTAGTATTTGATCACATATGTCTTAGAAATATTGCTCGCATCTGGTGGGATCACGAGGTAAGTAATAGTGGTGTTAGACACAAAGTATTAGGGAATAATGGTAAATCAGTTGATAAGGTTGTAAGTCTTCATCTTTATACTTACACAGTAACAATCTACTGTTGTAATTTTAAGAAGACAATGTTCTCGGAAAAAATAATACTACTTTCGACTAGTCAGTTTTCTAGTATTTCCGGTCCAACATTTTCATCATTTCTGAGATAAGTTTTCAGATAAAATAGTTTGTCTATCAAATGTTTTATCAACTTCACCTTCTTTAATAATACCTACCATCTGTGAGAACACGAATGTAATAGTTAGTTGGTGTGCGTTCTGTGACCATGTAACAATGCATATATCGTACTTGAAAGCATATGCCAGAAACCTTAAAGTCAGTTGTTATAACTAACGTTTTAGCCAACCTAATGTTCTTCAATGTAAGTACATATTTCGAAAAGTACAAAGAGCAAGACAAAACGTTAAATATTAGACCGAGATGTATTCACAATTTCAATGGCATTTTTTATGTTTGATGCATTAGGTAACTAAAATTTGTACTGAATCAGTAACTTAGAGCTTTGAATAATGGATCAACTTTGGAACTAAGGCATGTAATGCGCATTTACAAACAACTGGGCTATCGAGTAAATATAAATATAATATAATAATATGTAATATATATATATATATAATATATATGAAGTAAATAAAGAATAAAATGAAAAGTATATGAATTGGCAAGTGAAATTCTTATAATTGACTAACCTTGAATAAATCAAAATTTGCATTGTTTTCTAGATCCTTACTCAGAACCACTCGAACACGGAATTTTTCACCAACGGTGAACTCACTTCCTTTAGGGATTTTACGTTCAAGATTTCCTTTGCCATTCTTTAAAGAATCGTAATAATAATTATTGAATCGAATACAAAATTACAGCATAGTTTTGTGCTGCCGAATATTCCACAAGTCTTTCCTTCAAGAAAAACAAATACAAAATAACAAGCAGTAATAACATTGTTTTTTAAAAGATGCAGAACGGAAGCAATTTCTAATAATGTTTTGGTATAGATGCGTTCATTGAACACCTTATATAGATTTCACGGCTGACGTAGATAATAAAACAAACAGTTTTAATTAATTTATAACTCATTTTAGCAAGTATTTGGTGATAAACAACGATGTTATCTTTTTACAAATCCAATCATTCTTTGAGAAAAACAAAACTGCATTTCAATCACTCTCAGATTCACTACATTTTATGATCACAATCAATATCGTGTAGGTTGAATAGATTTTTAACCACTCAAATGATCATCTCAAAGCATTCTTGTTGTGAAAGCAAAAGACGTGTCAATTAAACAATTACTAAATCTTGATGGACTGTCATTTGTTCTACTGAGAGTTGGAAGTTTTATTTGACCTCTGAAATCCAAAAGATATATCTCTAGATTTGGTTCCTTCTCAGAGTTGGTCAAGCCATGATTTACAACTCTACATTAATCTCATTAACAAGTTTGTCTATCACATTTGACTAACTTTATCTCTGTGATTCTATAATAACAAAGTGGAAAGAAAAACAATTGTTGTACTTAAGAGATGCACGTAATTTATGTTCTTCAGTCACTAACGTAATACATTTTTGAATTGTTTAATTGTATCTTCCCATTAAGTCTTAGGACTGTAACTGGTCAGTCTCATTCAGCATATGTGCATTCTGTCCAGATTTCGTCGATATTGCTTTAAGTCACAAGTACAATAATCAAAGATAGATGATGGCTAGCATCGAAATCCAAGACGCGCTTTTCTTCCCATTGGGGACTAACCAGATGGAGCTACTGATTTCAGATAGCCATTAGCTTGTGCAAAGAGATGAATTTTAAACTCGTTTTTGTATTGGTTATTTGAATCTTCCGATTGATGTTTAGGATTACAATTATTCAGTAGCTCAGTGCATAACACGATGGTGTATAAAGGGAACGGTACCGAGTTCAAGTTGAGGAGTGAACGTCAAATCTGAGATGCATGTACATCCATCTGACAAGTCCTAAGTAGAACGCAACGCGCGTCCTGGATTCCACTGACAGCCATTGTTCATATTTGATTACAATACTAATAAAATGCTCTAAACTTTCGTCTAATATTATGAGTTTTCTAGTTATACGTAAATGATCACAAAATATGTGATAATATTTTCAATCAAATCGAATCTAACAATTAACATGTTGATTAAACATTTTTTGATTACGGAGAGCAGTGTGCCGTTAAAACTGCTAGAGGATCAAGAGTACAAAGAATGCGATTAAGAAAGTGAATGAACAAATTAACAAAGAAGAGGAGTTCGATGAAAACGTACAAAAATAAAAAAAACTATATAAGTTACTACGTAAACACTTTTTAAAATTTATTATAGTTGAAAGCGTGAGTCAATTGAAGCTAGACGACCATGGAAAACCTGGAAACACTGAACGGCCGTCCTTCTATAACTTTTTAAAATGACAAGATATAATTTTGAAAAGAACACGTATAAAACTATATATATATATATATTCATATATGTAATCTACATATGTGAATGCATATCCACTAGTTGCTAATCGACGCTATTTACTCTACTGCGGCTCATCAGAACATGTTCACATTTCGCTATTCTTTATCCTTATGTTCACTCGTCATCACAGACCAATTCCTGTCAAATCTAACCGTACTTATTTTCAAGTTTTATTCCACTGCCGTACCCATAAACAATTTATTACTGTTTTCACGGTATCGAGAATCGCTCATTCGAACATGTCATTTTATCGT